ATAATTATTGATAGTATTATGATACAAACTGGTCCCACTTTTTTTAACTTTCTCTAACTATATGTATATATTTGTTCATTTTCTTTTCACATTATAATATTATTTAATATATTAAATAAAATCTAAAATTATAAAATATATAAACAATATTCTATTTTAAAGAAGTTTTTTAGTAAAATATCAATCAAAGTATAAAGGAGTCAAAGAATTGATGTGATTAAAGAATTTATAAACAATTACATTCAAGTAACCAAATTAAGTAAAACGCAAAGTCAAGGGCTAAATTAAATAAGAGAATACAATTTTAGTAAAAAAAAGTAGGAATTGAAATTATATAGGTATTCTATAGGGGTGTGTAAATTCAAATATTGGATCCGATCTGATCCGAAAATTTCAGATACCTAAAATAGTGATATGTATCCGATCTGAAAGAATCAGAGCCTAATTTTTGGATATCCAAATATAAAATTTAATTTGACAGAAAAGTAATTTTAAATTTTATGATTTAATGTAACTTATTTGATACATCTACTATATATATATATATATATATATATATATATAAAATTACCCGCACATAATAAAAATTTAAAAATCCTAATTTTTATTGGGTTTGAGCTTTAATGAGTTAGTGGGTTACTCATTTATTGGGCTTAATGGTATCTAAAATCTAAAAGTCAATTTTTTTGGATTTTTGAATAATTTAAAATTGGAATTTATCTGATCCGTATTTGATCCGATTACCCGAATTGTTTTTTTGGATATTCGATCCGAATTATTCAAAAATCACTACAACAAATTTATCAATCTATGACGAAATTCCTATATGACATTGTATATAACGTCACAAAATATATTAGTAACGTGACGCTTTTTTGTTTTTGTCACATTTAGTGATTGATGGCATATTTTTTATGACAATTTAAAAATTTATCATTGATTTTTTTTCATCATATTTTTGGGGCCAAAATTTTCCTCCAAAAAAATTTGTAGGAAACTTTTCAATGACGTGTAGACAAAATAGTGACGTTGTAAAATCGTCTTCAATGAAATGAAAGTATTAGTGACAATTTATTATTATGACGATACGATTTGAATTAATTACGCTTTAAATTTATCATTAATAAGTTCTATGTGTGACAATCTGATTCGTCATATTTTATAAAGCATAAAAGATGACATTTTAATAGTGTCACACAAATAACTTTAACTTGATAAATGTAATTATTTGTCACTCATTTTTTATCCTTGTCTTTTATATGAAGGTTTTAAAAGACACTACGAGATTGTGTCACTTAATGTTTGGCATAAAAAATTAATAGAAAAAATTGAGGGAAAGGTATGCAGTGGGATCTTTGATTCACAACTAATTAAAAATCTTATTAGTTGTGATTTTTCAATTGTTTTTGGATTTTAAGTTGATATTATCAATCACTCCTATTAGTTCCGTCAAACATATGTGTCCTATATATTTATATTATATATAATAATTTTTTATTATTACATATATTTACATGTATATTTAAGATTCTTTTTAATGTTAAAAATAATAATTAGTTGACCATGTCAAAGTTGAGTGCTAATAAGATAATCATATGACCTTAATGAATAATTTAATTTAGAAAAACTTGTTAGTATTTCTAATTTTTCATATTATAATGCCAATTAAAATTTGCTAACATTCATTGATTTTGTTTTAAAGGGAAATATAACGGTTTAGCTGTTTTGTTTAATTTACTTTAAGGCGAAAAATATGGTTGCCTGCAAAACTATACCTTTGCCCCTTAAAACTGTTTCAAGACTTTCTGCCCCTTGACTTTAAAACATACATAACGAGGTGTCTCATTTTTAACATTATTAAATTCCTTAAAACATTTCATATTATTAAAAAATAGAGCAATCATACCATTCCATGTGACACTTTTTTTTACCAAAGAAATGTTGATGACTTTAACAAGAGAAGGTAAAATGCATGTTATGTCTCTCAGGTTTTATTTTTGTTCAATTTATATTTAAAAAATAATAATATGAAATTGGCACCTATTTGTTTATATTTTTTAATTAAGAAACTAAATTGGAAAGAATCATAAATTTATAGTTATAAGTATAAAAATTTTGAAAGATGGTTCCATTGATGAAAATCCTAAGATATTTAGTAACTTGCTCTATAATTTATCCAAATTTAATTTTTATTGAGTGATTTCCTCCAAAAACCACCGGTTTCAATATTTGAGCTAGAAAAAAAATCTTTTCTTTAATGAGAAAAGATTTTAATTTAATAATGATATTTTAAAATATATATATATATATATATATATATATATATATGTGTGTGTGTTATCTAATGCCCTAATTTTAAAGCAGAACCCTTTTTCCCTTTCAAAATTCTCCTAACCCTAAAACAATTGGTTTAGAATTGTAATCCCAATCTAATAACCCAAAAGGTAGGAAGCAATGGCTCGATTTCATGGTGCAAAGAAATCAACTCCATACTTTCGTTGCTGGTTGACTGAATATATTGTGGCCATTCACGCGTTTTCCTTCTTGGTTTAATCCAGTGGTATGTGCCTTCAACCGGGTAAGTATATTTACCCCTCTCATTTTTTTCCTTCTTTATTAATCGTCATTTTAATTCATTCTCCCTAAAATAAATAAAATAATAATGGAAGATATGCATATATTACAGTCTATTTTTCAAAGCATTTACGCGAATCTTCCAATCTTATATGGCCCTTCATCAAATCAACCGAGTGGGTAATAATATTCAAAAGACCATATTTGCCCCTTTTTTTCTTGATTTTGATTTGTGTTGTTTGTGTTTGTTTTTTTTTTTTTGTTGGTAATAATATTTTTTGGCTTTAGTTAACCTTTTTTTTGTATTTATAAGGTTTCATGATGGTGGCCGGCGGAAGTGGTGACCAAGAGGTAGTGGCAGCGGAGAGGCCTAGGAATGTGGTTGAGATTGGGGGCTACTTTTTGGTATTTTAGAGGGAAAGGATTAAAATATAATGAATGTATAACTTTGGGTTTTTATTGTAAATTGTAAAAAGTATATTTCATTATTGTAATTTCTAAGAAATTTTGCTTTTTATTGTATTTTCTAAGAAGTTTTGGTCTTAACTATAATTTATAAAAAGTTTGTCCTCTGCTGTAATTTAAAAAATAATTTGTTATTTATTATCATTTATAAAAATGTTTACATCTTTTTATATTTTATAAAAACTTTAGACTTTTATTATAATTTATAAAAGGTTTGGACATTTATTTTAATGTAACTGTTTTTAAAATTTTCAAAAAATAACTTTTAATAATTTTAATAAAAATTGTGACGATATTGTTTTCGACATTTATATAATAAAATCATTATATTATTAGTGACGACTTGAATAATTAGTGATGAAATATTATATTATTTTGTGATATAATTAATTGTAAATGAATATAAATTATAATGTGGCATTATTCATTAATGTCACTATATGTTTCACTATGCGTGACGAAAATATAGATATCGTCACATTTGACATTTAGTGACACACCTAAGATGATTTTCACTATATGTTTCACTAGGGTGATTTTTGTCGTGACACCATTTTTTATGTCATAAAAGACAAATAATGACGTAAATGAAAGATTTAGTGACAATGTTTTAGATGCCATAAATACAAATATCTTTTGTAGTGAATTAAAAAACGGATCAGATAACCGAATTTCAAATCAGATCACCAGCTCAAAAAGATTGGATAGATCGAATCAGATCTTTTTGCACACCCCTAGTGTTCTATAGTGGTATATGAGCATGTAGTTTAAATTTGGTTAAAGCATACTTTAAATGAAAGATTAATTGAAGAAATCATGAGAATTGAGGGATTAAATTAAAAAATAGAAAACTTGTTATCAAAAGGAGGAATTTAAAGTACATAGGTATTCTATGATGATTTAGGAGCATGTAGTTTAAATTTGATAAAAAAAAACTAGACTTAAAATAAAAAAGAAATTGAAGGAATAAGAAAATCAGGGACTAAATCATAAAACTGTCAAAATACTTAACCAAATTTTTAATTTTTCGAGTGACTCAAAATTTTTAAATTTCATCTCGTTTCGATCTCGAAATTCAACTCGATAATTTGAGTTGACTCAAATAGCTTGAATAATTCAAAATTGAAAAAACTCAAATTTTTAGTTGAATTGAGGTTTGTTGACCCCTAATTCTTGCATTTAGAATAAAATTTTATTCAAAAAATTGGTGTATTTATTAATTTCATCTTTCTACTTTGCAAATATTGAGAAATTAATCTCTTTATGTTAATTCTTCAAATTTTGGTTCTCATACTTTGAAAATTAAGATATTAGTTTTTTTCTTGGGTAAACTATATGTTTAGTACCCAAACTATTACTTTTATTTTGTTTTGGTACTCAAACATCAATTTTTTCAAAATATACTTAACATTTAGTTGAAGTTTCATTTTAGTAGTCCGTTGTTATAAACTCAACGATAATATTGACGAGTCATCATAAAATAATGTCATATTATCACTGAAAAATTAAAAAAATGTCATGTCAATAATTTTATTAATTTTTTTGTGACAGGGTACCAAATTAAAAAATTAAAAAAATACCATATCAATAGTTTCTGTTATTTTTAGGATAAACCGTGTATTTAGTAATCCAACTACCACTTTGATTTTGTTTTTGTTATTCAATTATTTTTCTAAATTATCATTAACGTTATATTTTGGTTTCATTTTAACCCTGTAGTTAAAAAGTTAAATGTTATGATGATGTGTTATTATAAGTAAAGTCACATCATTATTGAAAAAATATATCACGAAAATAATTTTATTTTTTTTACGACATGTGATAAAAATGAAATCAAAATATAACCTTAGTAATGATTTTGAGGGGGAAAATAATTGAATGACAAAAATGAAACCTAAGTGAGATTAAATACGTACTTTACCCTATTTTTTAAAAATAAATATATCTGATTTTAAACTTACTTGGATCAATGCTGGTGGTAACGGAGCGCCTCCAAAATTACAGCTACTAGGGACTGGGTTATTCATGATGTAGCTGTTGAACACGTAGGAAGCATAAGCATGGATCGTGTTCGGATTGTAACACCTTCCACCCGACTGAATCACCGAACAGTCCGCACCACCGTTCCCGCACGCATAGTCTAGACCTACTAGCAATGACCTTTGTGATGCACTTTGGCTGGCCACGCACCAGCTGCTGCCGCCGCCCCTCGTTGTTGTTGTCATTGGAACCGCCCAAAATCGGCGACATTGTCATCGGAGATGTTGCCGAATCTGGAATTGAAGTGGGTTCAAGACTGGAGTTGATGAAATAGGAGAAGTGGTCGGAATCATTATTGGTATCGTTGCTAGAGGAGTTGTTTTGTCCTTTTTGTTGCTGTAAATATTAAACTTCCTTGTATCACTTGGACCTGGATCATATTAAAAAAAATAGTTAGATTATAATCCTGATGTGATACAAGAGACTTAATTAAGAATAAGTATTCGATCTAGTCAATTTTTTTAAATTAATTGAATTTCTGTTTAAATTTAATTGTAAATATTTATAATATTGTGATATTAATTGATTTCAATTTAAATGATTTTTTTATAATCATTAGTAATTTATATAAGGGTAAAATCATATTACACAATGTAAAATTCTTTTAATTTTAAACAGATTTAAGACTGTTGGATGAGTGAAAATAGATGAGTGGGATTAAGTGTAAGAAATGAGAAGATATTTACTGGAAAAAAAGAGTCAATCTTAGTCATCTATTTGCACTCATCCAACGGTCTTAAATCTGTGTAAAATTAAAAAGTTTTACATTGTGTAAGTGAATCATAAACTCATATATATATCATGCAAAATTGAAGGCTATTTGAACTTAAAAATCAATATATTAAGGGTAAAGTATACAAATGGTGATCCGTCTATAGGGTATTGTTTTATTAAATCCATCGACGATTAAAAATTATAAAATTATTCTCCGACTATAGGACGTTATTTTGTTGGGTCATCCGACTATTCATATGTTTTAAACTTGTCTTTTTTCGTTAAAAGTTAACGATCATATGAGCTAAATGTTAACCTGTTTACGAAGATATGATAAAATCAGTTTTTTCAACGATTTCTATTGACGACGTCGTTGCTTTCAAGTACTGGTTCAACATCATAATGTTTCAAGTACTAGCTAGAAGATATATTGTAAACGAATAGTTGATCCACAAAATACAACTCAAACGATTTTGAGATTAAATTTTATCATATCTCAATTAAGAGGTTAACATCTAGTTTAAAAGACCGCCAATTTTTTAACGAAAAAAAAAGTTTGGAACATGTAAACAATCGGCGATCATTTTATAACTTTTAATAATCGATGAACTCAATAAAATATCATAATATAGTCATAAAATTATTTTATAACTTTTAATAATTAAAAAACTCGATAAAATAACAACTTATAATTGATGGACCATTTGTATTTTAGGCATCCATTAACTACTAAAACTAAAACTTGAATTATCTAAATCCTACTCTACAATTTAAATTTTAAATAAAAAATTTCACTCTTCAAGTATTAATTTAAAAAATATATATATTTTTAATTTTTCGGTCCTCGTCTAAATACAACTAGAGCCTATATAAGATAAGAAAATATGGAGAAACATAGCACAGATATTGAGACAGGACAGACTGTTGAAATGAAGACTAACTACGTCATTTAGTCAGCGGTGATTTTTTCCAAAAATTACTTTTTTTTATATATATATATTTATCTGTCACATTCTTTCATATATATATTTCTTGATCTAACATATTTTGTAGAAAGACGAGACTTATGCACCACACTTTACATAAGGAACATGTAAAGGATTAGATATTAATTTTGTAATTTTTTTAAAATAATACCTAATATGTAATTAATTTCTGTTAGAATGATTTTTATGTAATAACATCAAATTTTTTATTTATTTTTTATGTGCGAAAAAAAATTATGCATTAAAATATTTAAATATTCTTTTTTAAATTATTTTATAACTCGATAAATTTTAATTTTTATATGAAATTACATAATACGTATAATCTAATATAGAAAAAAATTGAGTATAATTAATTTAAAATATGAATAATTTTATAAAAATTTTATAATTAGTATTTATTTTATAAAATGATGATAATAATAAATATTTTATAATTTAAAAAATTATAAATTTAATATATTTTTGAAAAATTTATTGACCTATAAAATTAATTGTTTAAAAATATAAAAAAAATATTAAAATAAACTTTTAATTATAATTGAGGGATCAAATGAATTATTATTCATTAATTATTATTTTTTAACAATTATTAATAATTTTTATTATTTTTAATAAAATAAATTATTAAAATAAATTTTTAATTACAAATGAGGGATCAAATGAATTATTATTTATTAATTATTAAACTTTAATGTCGGTTCCAAACATAAAGAACAATGGTGGATTTGAGAGAGAGAAAAAGAGACATTTTCCTTCATGGGATAGCCATGAAAATTCCAAGCAACGAAAAACAACAACGGAAAGCGGACGCCATGATAATTGAAAGAAAAGGGAAAACCCGAATTACCTGGAAAGTGCAAGAGGCAAAAGAGGAGGAAGATTTTGGAGAAGATTGCGGTTGAATCCATTGCTGTAACATCCGTCTTCTTCTTCTTCTTCTTCTTCAATTTGTTGTTTTGGTTGGGAGAAATGAAAGGAACTAAAGAAACAACAATGATCTTGTGTGAAGGACACTTTGGCATCAATATCACTCACGGTGCTGCTTCTGTGGGGGAAGAAGCTAAGGATGGAAAAAAGTTTAATAAAATAAGGAACAAAACAGAGACGTGGTTTGGAATTTAGGTTTGCTAAGGTGTGATGGTAACTGGGCTTTGATTTTCTTTTCCTTCCATTTTCTCTCTCACATACACACACACATACATATATATATATATATATATATATATATAGTAACTATAGTATTTTTTTTATTTAGGTGTGATAATTGAATACAAAATTTTAAAAGATAATAATCGATCCCTTAATTAATAAATCTACTTAGTTGGTGCTATTTTATCCATAACTTCATTAATGGGATGGGGGTGTTTTGTTTCTACAAATTTGTTAACAAAAAACAAAACGAATTATACTTCATTAAAGATTTCAATCATAAATATAAATTTTACAATGAATGACATTTTTACTATATAATTTAAAAAATACTTATAAATTTAAGATAAATATAAGTTAATATTTATTCAAAAATTCTTTAATTATTTAACAATAAATATTCATATTCATATTACTTCATATATAGTATTCCAACCTCAAATCTCAAAAAGTAATAATATAACCCTTAATTATCAAATTTGCTTGATTCCTCCTATTTATTCATGTTCCGTATTTATCATCAACCCCGATAATATTACTTACCATCATCATCAACTCTAATATTATTATTATTATCATTTTTATATAATCACTTATTTTCGATTTATTAATCTATTAATCGGGATCAGATATTGTAAAGATAAGACAATCTTCCTAACCCAATTCAACTTTAATATTATTGTTGACAATTACCATTAGTTTTAATCTATATATTTTTTTCTCCGACAACACACGATGTCTTTTTTTTTCACTTAGTATAAATTTTATTTTAAATTCCTAATTAATATTATAGAACCCCCATTTCTCTAATTTTTTATTAACCATTTTCTCAAAATTTACCTGCAATTGTCTCATTTTCACAGTTTGATAAATTTCTTTTTTGAAAAATCAGGAAAGCCTTGTATTCCATTTGAAAAAAGCTGATATTTTTTAGTTTTATATATTTTATCAAATTAAGCTTTGCTGATTGTATTAAACAGAAACTCGTGATCTCCTATTATCTTTAAAATTCTGAGATATAAATACAAGCTATAATAATATTAGGACAAAATAAAAATGTGATTAAAATTATAATATTCTAAATTAAATATAAGCTATAATATATTTTTTTACTTATTCAACATAAAATATTATGATTTTTATTATATTTTTGTTACGTTCCAAAATCGCTGTTTTTTAACCCGAGGTTAGGCAATCTGAACTAAAAATCTTATTGTTTTTTGTCGTTTAGGGAAAGTCTCTGTGTCAGTGTGAGTACCAGCTGCATTCTCTCTCTTTTCTCCATTTACTTTATTCTTTTCGGTGACAACAATTTACATAAAAACGCCACACTAAAATTGTACTAGTAAATCAAACTTTACCACTTAAGAAACAGTTCCATACAAATTAAAGTAGGTAAAATATACAAATAGTCCCCATAGTTCTTATTTGTAAATTATAAAATGATTAAATTTGACGTCCAATTCAAATAGACTGATAATTCTTTAGCAAATTTTCAATTCCATTCAAGAGTTCTTATTTGTTTCCACGACCCTTTAAAACCCCAAAATTTTGACAAATTTCTTTTCTTATATTAAGAACGCATACAAGGTTCATCACTACAAATAGAATAATGGTAACCCCACGAATAATGGCTTCATTTATGAATTTCATAGTAATATAAATACATGTTCTATTGAAACAAAAATTGTAACTTGCTATCCTCTTGCATAGCGGGCAATGATTTACTTTTGTGGAAAAGATGATTCATTCGGATCCACATGCAAGCCTAATTCCATAACATTGTAAGAATCATGTTGTATAATTGAAAGAGGTTGACTTCCTTGATTCTCTCATGGTACAATCATCTTCCCACTGAACCCCCTTTCTCTTCGGTCCACAAAAAAAAATTTGAAAAATATAAATAGTTGTGTAGATACTCGTTTTTTTTCCGGGGATACATCCAAGTTCATTTATGTTATTAATTAGTTTAAATGCAAAGAATTATTGGGCTAGTTATTTAGTTATATGTAGGGTGCATATTATATAGGTATATATATTATATTATATTATTATTAGTTATGTGAATATATATGTATTTAATTGCATGGGTTAATCATCATTATTGGTTATGCGTGCTTTTATATATATTA